ATATTATTAGTTTCAGAGGTAGAGATCAGTGATTCATCAGTCTTACATAATACCCAGTGCTCATTACATCACATGCCTGCCTTAATGTCCATCACCCAGTGGACTTCTTCTTTTTGAAATGTCTATTCAAGCCTTTGCCTATTTTTCTATTTTTCTTATTGATTTATAGGAATTCTTTACATATTCTGGACACTAGTCCTTTGTCAGTTACATGTGTCAAAGAGATCGTATTTTCTTGCTGTTTGCCACTGATATAGTCATGTAACTGAGGTTCTATGTATAAACTTTCTTTTGCATTTTATATAATTTAATTTTTGTATTTATTATTAGAGGATAGTTGGCACACAATGTTATATTACTTTCAGGTGCACAAAATAGTGATTTGACAATTCTATAAATTACTCACTGCTCACCCTGGTAAGTGCAGTTACCATCTGTCACCACATAACATAATTGCAATATTATTGACTATATTCCCTATGCTCTACTTTTCATCTCCATGACTTACTTATTTTATAACTGGACATTTGTACCTCTTCATTCCCTAAACCTATTTTGCCCTTCCCCACACCCCTTTCCCCTCTGGCAACCACCAGTTTGTTCTCTGTTGAGTCTGTTTTTGTTTTTTGTTTGTCCATTTGTTTTGTTTTTTTAGGTTCCACATCTAAGTGAAATCATATGGTATTTGTCTTTCTTTGTCTGATATATTTCACTTAGCATAATGCCCTCTAGGTCCATTCATGCTGTCACCAATAGCAAGATCTCATCTTTCCTTATCCATTCGTCTACTGGTGGACACTTAGGTTGCTTCCGTATCTTGGCAATTGTATATAATGCTGTAATAAACATAAGGGTGTAATAAACATAGAACTAATGTTTTCATTTTCTCTGGGTAAATACCCAAAAGTGGAATTGCTGGATCATACGATATTTCTATTTTTAATTTTTTGAGGAATCACCATACTGTTTTCCACAGTGGCTGCGCAAAGGGTTCCTTTTTCTCCATATCCTCACCAACACTTGTTATTTCTTGTCTTTTTGATACGAGCCATTCTGACAGGTGTGAGGTGAGATCTCACTGTGGTTTTGATTTGCATTTCTCTGATAATTAGTGATGTTGAGCATCTTTTCATATGTCTGTTGGCCATCTGTAAGTCTTCTTTGGAAAAATGTCTGTTCAGATCCCCTACCCATTTTTAATCAGATTATTTGTTTTTTTCTGGTGTTGAGTTATAGAAGTTCCTTATATATTTGGATATTAACCCCTTATTGGATGTATCACTTGCAAATATCTTCTCCCACTCAGTAGGTTGTCTTTTTATTTTGTTGATGGTTTCCTTTGCTGTGCAAAAACTGTTTATTTTGGTGTAGTCCCAGTAGATTAGTTTTGCTTTTGTTTTCCTTGCCTGAGGAAACATATTTATAAATATGTTTCAAAGGTTGATGTCAAGTGTTTACTGCCTATGCTTTCTTTTGGGAGTTTTATAGTTTTAGGTCTTATATTTAAGTCTTGAATCCATTTTGAATTTTATTTTTGTGTATGGTGTAAGAAAGTGGTCCAGTTTCATTGTTTTGCATGTAGCTGTCCAATTCTCTTAACACCACTTATTATAAAAACTATCTTTACCCCATTGTATATTCTTGCCTTATTTTTCACAGATTAATTGACCATAAAAGTATGAGTTTATCTCTGGGCTCTCTGTTCTGTTCTATTGATGTATGTGTCTATTTTTGTGCCAGTACCATACTGTTTTGATTACTGTAACTTTGTACTATATCTCAAAACCTGGGATTGTGATGCCTCCAGCTTTGTTCTTCTTTTTCAAGATTGCTTTGGCTATTCAGGGTCTTTTGTGGTTCCATACAAATTTTCAGATTATTTGTTCTAGTTCTGTAAAAAATACTGTTGGCATTTTGATTGAGATTACATTGAATCTGTAGATTGCTTTGCATAGTAAGTTCATTTTAACAATATTAATCCTTCTAATCCATGAGCATGGTATATCTTTCTATTAGTTTGTGTCATCTTTAATTTCTTTCATCAACGTTTTATAGTTTTCAGAGTACAGATCTTTTACCTCCTTGGTTAAATTTATTCCTAGATATTTTATTCTTTTTGGTACAATTATAAATGGGATTGTTTTCTTAATTACTCTTTATGCTACTTCATTATTAGTATGTAGATATACAAAAGATTTCTGTTTATTAACTTTGTATCCTGTGACTTTCTAAATTCATTTATTAGATTTATTCCTGTAACTGAATACCTATGTATAAACCTTTAAACAAATTTATAATGAATCTTTTTTATTTTAATTTTTTAAATTTTTAATTTTTTTTATGATGAGGTGTACTCTTAATCCCCATCACCTATTTCACCCATCCCACCATCCCCCTCCCCTCTGGTAACCATCAGTTTGTTTTCTACAGTTAAGAGTCTGTTTTCTTGGTTTCTCTCTCTCTCTCTCTTTTTTTTCCTTTCCTTGTTTTGTTTCTTAAATTCCACATATGAGTGAAATCATATGCTATTTGTCTTTCTCTGACTTATTTTACTTAGCATTATACTCTCTAGCTCCATCCATGTTGTTGCAAATGGCAAGATTTCATTCTTTCTTATGGCTGAATAGTATTCCATTGCATATATATATATATATCTTCTTTATCCATTCATCTATTGACGGACACTTGGGCTGCTTCCATAGTTTGGCTATTGTAAATAATGCTGCTATAAACATAGGGGTGCACGTATCCCTTTGAATTAGTGTTTTTGTGTTTTGGGGGTAAATACCCAGTCGTGCGACTCCTGGATCATGGGATAGTTTTATTTTAAATTTTTTTGAGGAACCCCCATACCGTTTTCCACAGTGCTTGCACCAGTTTGCATTCCCACCAACACTGCAATAGGGTTCCTTTTTCTCCACATCCTTGCCAATCCTTGATGTTTTTTGTCTTTTTAATTTTAGCCATTCTGACAGGTGTGAGGTGATATCTTATTGTAGTTTTGAGATAATGAATCTTCTTGGTTCAAATACAATGTTAAAGGACTTTTGTTGGTGGAATTTACTTTAAATTTACTCTTAAGGGCTATAAGAAAGATCATATTGTGTGTAATTATGCATTTAAATGGAAAATCAATTTAATAGATTTATGATTCCATTATTTTTTGTAGGTTGTGGCTTTTGAAAATAACCTAGTACAGTATTTTGTCAGCTTTCTATTACTGGCTTATCCATACATTTTAACACTTACTTTATACATTGCATTTTTCATTTTTCTGTACAACACTGCAAGCTACTACTAAGTACAAATCAAAGTGAAATATAAAAGGAAAAGTTTTAACAGAGTAGTAAGTGTTAATGATCAGAAGAAAAGTTAGTAAGTATGGTTGACTGTTAGCTGTAGCTAACACTTTTTCTGGCCCATTTGGAAGTGTAGAAATAGAGATATAATTTCCTTTAAAAAAAATAATCCCTTTTGTAAAGAAAGATACATATTCATTCACAAAATGAAACAAAATGGAAAAGAACAAAAGAAAGGAAAAGTCACTCCAAATTCTACCACCCAGGGATCATCATTGTTGGTGTTTTATTGAGCATGCTTCCAGTCATTTCTGTATTCTGTACAGACACAGGTGATTATGTGATCTAACAAAGAGATCAGACGCTAGACATCACCATTTCGCTGGCAGGTTAAAAAAAAAAAACAAAAAACTGTAGTACACCAGGTAGAGCAACCCGCAGGGAACCTGCTGCTCCTCCTTCCTCACCTTTTCCTTGCACTTCCAAGAGAAGTACAGAAAGAGAGGAGAGGAAAGGGGAACATGATTATCTCTATTTCTGCTTTGCCAAACCACTGAGAAAAGGCTTAGAATTAAGCACGCCATTGGGGCAGGTTCCAGAAAAAGGGACCTTGGGGACACTATATGAAGGAGTTAGTATTTCCCAAAGTGCATTTCACAGGATGTGAAAAGGTACATGACAGTGTGTCCTGTGGTCAAGAAGGTGTGGGAAGTGCTGGGGTTAACCAAGTCTGACAAGTTTCTTCACTGCGGGACTCTGCTTCTGCTGCATCTCCTGGATGGGGGAGGGGGAGGCAGACGGTGGTTCCCAGACATTTCCGTACAGAAGCCTTTGCTCATGGAGAGTCACCCAAGTCCAGTTCTCTTGGAAAACTTGGGGAAACGTTTATTTGACTCTAGGATATTATACTTCAAAGTTAGTATATATAATTTTTTAAAATGCAAACCTTTCTGGGGCGCCTGGGTGGCTCAGTCGTTAAGCGTCTGCCTTTGGCTCAGGTCATGGTCCTGGAGTCCTGGGATCGAGTCCCACATCGGGTCCCTGCTCGGCAGGAAGCCTGCTTCTTCCTCTCCCACTCCCCCCTGCTTGTATTCCCTCTCTCGCTGTGTCTCTTTCTGTCAAATAAATAAATAAAATCTTTAAAAAATTAAAAAAAAAATGCAAACCTTTTTTTCCTGATTACAAAAATAATACATATTCATTGTAGAAAATTTGGTAGTTAAAGGTATTGTGAACACAAATGAAATCACTCTAATTGCACCATTGGAGATGGCCAGCATTTGGCATATTTTAGTGTGTTTTCTTCCAGACCTGTATGCGTGTGTGTGTGTGTGTGTGTGTGTGTGTGTGTGTGTGGTGTGTAAGAGTATACCGAGCCTTGCTATGCACTTTTTTTTGTTCTTGGATAAAGAACATTTTATTCATTAGAGGAAAATCTTTTCTCCATGATGGAGTGCGTTTGGAGGTTTTTCCAAAAATATTGCTTTATGAAACCTTGTTGATTTTGGAATAATTTTAGATTTTTTTTTGTAAAGATGGTACAGAGAATTCTCAGACACCCTTGACTCGGCCTCCCCTAATGTTAACACTGTCTAGAGTTTTGTGTCAGTTTTTTCTATCTATAAATTTTCTTCTAACTCTGCATGAAGTTTCTGGTTTTCAGTTGGATAAAACATGCCCTCTCTTCTGCTGTCTTTCTAGGTTCCTATAACAATAGTACCAAAGTGGCTGTGAAAACCCTAAAACCAGGCACTATGTCTGTGCAAGCTTTTCTGGAGGAAGCCAACCTCATGAAGACCCTTCAACACGACAAGCTGGTGAGGCTCTATGCCGTGGTCACCAGAGAGGAGCCTATCTACATTATCACTGAGTACATGGCCAAGGGTGAGTGTGCCCCCCAAACACAGGGCTTTTGAAAGACTTCAAACTTCAAAAGTAAAACATTTATTTTTTTAAAAGATTTTTATTTATTTATTTGAGAGAGAGAGAGAGAGATTATGAACAGGGGAGGGGTAGAGGGAGAAGCAGACTCCCTACTACGCAGGGAGCCCAATGGAGCTCAATCCCAGAACCCTGGGATCCCGACCTGAGCCAAATGCAGACACTTAACCGACTGAACCACCCAGGCGCCCCAAAGTAAAGCGTTTAAATGTTCACAGAATGTTCCAATAGTTTTAATTCCAAAACAGCATGCTCACTACTGAAAAATCTGAATACATGGGGAAACAGAACATTTTTGTAAACCACCTCACCAGAAATATTTTGTGTATTATCTGTATTATAGAAATAATGTATAATCTTTCTATTTTCTCTGCATTTGTCTTCATATTCATATTAGCCATATGAATCACACACAGTACATAGAAGGTCCCTAATAAATATTTGTCCAAAAAATACATATTTCAAAGAAGAGTATTTTTGTTATATCTTTAAAACGGCAGTTCTCAAAATCCTAAAATGCATTCATTTTCCTCTCTAGCATTATCTAAGTGTTCAGGGTGTCACTTTAAAATGTGAACATTTTTAAAACTGTTAGAGGTTACATTCCTCTGTCATCAGAATCACTGAGGAAGAGGTATCCAGCAAACATGTTTTCTCCGGCCGATATTACCTTCAGATAACAGGGTTTGAATTACTACCCTTCTTCCTCCACGTCAGTTAGAGATACTAGCAAACTGCCAAATGGTTCTTTAAAAATCTTTAGAAGGAATGAAGGAAGAAAAGAAAGAAACATAAACAATAATAGCGAATTAAGAATCATGCATCGTGGAGCTCATAGTGTGATGTCACAACTGAGTAGATTAGAAAGATGAATATTACATTTTCTTGTTTAATATATGTAAATATTTCAAAATAGCAGTCACTCAGAGTCCTTTCCAAAAAAGACGTTGTTTAAAAACAAAAATAAAAAAACAAAAAAACTAACCCTTGTGGCTTAGGTTGCTCTAACCCAGAAACCAGGCTCCAGATCAGACACTTTGTAGTTCAGTAAATCCTTGTTGAATTAAGCAACTAGTTGTATTTGGATCATAAACGTAAATATGAGTTTCTCCTCATAACAATACTTAGCCTTTATTGAGTACTTACTGTATACCAGATTGTTTCTGATGCTTTCCCTGCGTGATCTCCCTTAATCTTCTTAGCAATCGGAGGGCTAAGTACCATTGTTCTGTGTTGAGGATGAAGTAGCAGAACATTTATTGAGCACTACTGCCCACCAAGCACCGTGGCACGTGCTTTAAATCTGTCCTCACGAGGCCTCTGATAATAGCTAGTAGGACATGCCCTCTTTACAGGGACTAAGACATTATGGGTAAGCAGCTTGCCTAAGGGTGACACTTTAAGTTCTAGGAGAAAAAGCAGGTCTTGTTTTAGAGATGAAGCCGTAGGAAGTAGGAGGGTTTATTGACACACTTTCTCATTGAGCACCTACAGCTTGCACTGACTTCTGTGCTTTTGCTAGACACAGAGAGCAGCAAGCCTAGCCCAGTGCCTGCTCCAGGCAGGCCTGCTATGAGGACCTGCTGGTTTCTGTCTCTGAGCAGCTCTGAAGATCAGGCAGCTGCAGTAAGTGGATTGTGGTGGCAGGTGCAAAGTGCTCTGAAACGCATAGCTAGAAAAACAGTGTCCACCATCACCCTTTCTTACCTGGCCCACACGCCACGTGTCACATCAGGTCAAAGGTAACAGGTTAGAGGGGACTGCGTTTGACCAACTTCAGAAAAAGGCACTCTGGCCATACAGAATCGTAAAGGCCATCATTCTGTGCGTTTCCTTGCTAATAGTAAGGATCGTTTGACTTTTGTTTGGATTTTGAAAGGAAATGTGCGATTCCAAACTAAATGTGCGATTCCAAACATTTTGTTTGTGTGTTTGAACTACGCTCACTGGTTCCTCCTCTACCAACAGGCAGTTTGCTGGATTTCCTGAAGAGCGAAGAAGGGGGCAAAGTGCTGCTTCCAAAGCTAATTGACTTTTCTGCCCAGGTGAAGTATTAAATATCCAGGGTGCATGTAAGTTCTCGAAGACCTCCCTGCTTCAGCGTCATGATGTTCCAGGGAGAAAGCATTTGTGTTGGATGTTTCCCAGTAGTGGTTCTGAGAAAAAGGCCTTCCAAAGTGCACTTCCTTGGAGACAGTGATGGGTGTTTCACACTGAAGGAGTGTGTGCGTATGTTCAGGTCTGACTTGAATGTCATCTTCCCTAAAACAAGGCAGCCTCTTATACTTATGTCCACGCCTGCACCAGCTAGAGAGACAATGAGGCGGAAGGGGTCACTTTGCACTCCATTTTGGAGACTCAATCCCGAGTGTTCTGAGCACAGCACATTCTAAATGATGCACATGTGGTATTTAAGTTACTAACCTAAGGTACAAGTGCTTTTAAGTCCTTAGTATTCTTGAAAACAGAGGAACTATATTCTTTTCCTTATTTACCCCCTTCCAATCCTTCTCGTTAGATACATCTTTAGGGTTCTAAGAAATATTCATTTGTAATATTTCTAGTACTAGCCTAGAAGTTGCAAGTTTGTTTAGTTTGGAATCGCACATTTCCTGAAGTGCGTTTAAGGGCAGAAGAAACCCAGCAATGTACCTGGTGTGTCAAGGAAATGCGCGTTTGAATGATGCCAGCTACTGACTATTAATAGTCTAATTGTATCTGTTAGTCATTTTCAGTAATTTGCTTGTTTTGTTTCTTGATACTGGCCATGGTAATTCATGTTGGGAAGGCCATGTGCCATAAAGCCTAAAGTAGTCCAAGGGACTTCCAGGGGTTCCAAGAAAGGGTCGCCTTTATGATCTTCATTTCTTACTCCCGTTTCTTCCCTCAGACCCTCTTTAAGTTGGGAAATTGATAAGGCCTTCTTGGGAAGATGAGATCAAAGGAATGAATTAGTATGCAGGTAAAGTCCTTCAAGAGAGGATCAGAACACATATTCAACAGTAGAGTATCATGGGCAGAGTTGGGGTTCAACATCCGAAGACTGGCGTGTGTCGTGGCTCGTGGCTCTGACTCAATAGCCATAACCACTCAGGAAGCCTTTTGCCTCTTTGGGTTAGTTTATTCACCCATCAAATGGGAATGGTAATTCCAGTTTTCAGGAGATGTTGTTGGGCGTCTAATCTAATCACAGACTGGCATGGACACAAGCACTTCAGAGGCTCTTGGTGGAAGCTGAGGGAATCTTGGGGATGACAGTCCCCATCATTCTGGTAAAGGTGTGTGATGAAGTCACCCAGCTCAGCCCCCATCTCATCCATCCAAACTTGGCAAGCTTTAGTAGATTCCTTATCTGAGTAAGAAATTCAAAGGTAATCTGGAACCCCAGCATCTAACGTGGAATGAAGCAAGATTGCTGTGGTAGCACTGGGGAAAGGGAAAGAGTCCAACGGCCCTGACTTTACTCAAACTCTCTACACTGGCCCCTGCGAGGATCTATGGACTCCAAGGGTTCCAGGACCATAGTTTGAAAACCACTGCTCTGCAGCAAGAGGAATGATTACTTGGATGGATGCAGCTCTAGATCCTATGTAGATAAGGAGTCAGAAAACGGAGAAAGCAGACGTTGATAAACTTGTGTCACACTTGACATTGATAAAGAAGACCCTTGATTGGGGTGGTGAGTTAGGCATCCCCTATGGATGAGACACTTGGGGAGTGTAGCGAAGGTTTGTTGCACCCAGGGGTGTGAAGGGAAGGGGGCTGACATGGAAAAGTGGGCCATGCGCCTGGAGACCTGAGTGGTCATAGTTCAAGTGCAGCTGAGGTCTGATCTATGTGTACCTACAGTTCTATAGGGTTATATAAGGTCTACAGTTATATGGAAATTATGCACATCAGGATGTGTACCATACCTGGAGAAGGACTTTAATTTGTCACATGGGTATTTTTTATTTGATTTTGCATGCCTGACCTTATAAAGCTTTATCTCGACATAGTCAAAGTTCTTAAGGTCCAACTCGGTCTCTGTATCTATTCTTTAACTTTCTACCTTACTACTATTGCTAAAAAAGGTAACTTTTTCTAACTTACGAATGAGTCGGGGAAAAAAGTTGCTTTCTAAAACTTTGTAGTTTGCAAGGGAGATTATCCCAGAGCATGAAATTGACCATGACTCTCTGTTGACCACACCCGATACGCATTCCCACCGCAATATTGTCATTTCCCTCTGTGACCGGTACTACCAACACTCCTCCGAAATGATCTCTCTATACAGAAAGTCATCTCTGCATTTTTTCCCCTTTTTCTCTCCATCATGTGCCACCAGTTAACTCCATCACTTCTCCCTAATGGATAAGATGAGAATAATAAATACTAATAACGCTGGCCCAGGGTGATAGAGGATACCTGGTGCCCACATACTGGAATAATCCATCCTCTCTATACCTTCTTCCACTTGACTCTTTAGAGTGGACATAGGGTAAAGCAGAAGATTTGTATAAGTCCATATTTGAACTCTAAACTAAACAACAAGCAGGCTGTAGTTTATTCTTTCTTCTGTTAGCATTGTCAGTAACATCAAAGAGCACAAGAGGATATAATTAAACTCAGCTGTTTTTCACAATGAGGGGTGGAGAGTAGAAAGAAACCAGCTTACTTAATCTCAGCCCCAGAAGGATGAGGGAACCGGGGCAGGGGGCGGGTGAGGGACAGCACTGGGACTTTTCCCACAGCCTCTCATCAGCCTCTTCTTCCCTCTTCCCACAACCTACTTCCCCAAGCTCTGCTTTCCCCTCACCGTTCTCCCCTTACACCAGTCGGGACAGGAAGTGGGTGAGTGCACACAACCTCTCGGTTCATGTGAGAGCTGATTTCATCACTTCCTGTCTCGGGATGAGTCCCAAAAAGCTCTTCTGAACCCAAATGCAATTCACTCCATGCAACCTGTCTCTCAGCTCACTCGCCTCCCTCGGCATTTAATGGAGAGGAAGAAATCCCAACTAAAGTAGCTCTACCAGTGCTTTCCCCCTAGTATGAAATGAAGCGATGTTGTGCTCTTTGTGCTAAAATAGGAAAATTAGCCCTTTGCGGAGTAAGTTTGATACTTTTCAGAGCAGAGAGACCTTTGCCTCCTGCAAGAGAAGAAAAATGAACTTGAAAAAGCAGAGGGTTAAAATCTGGGAATTCCCTTCAAGGGAAGTGGAAGTGGAATCGTAGACTTGTACAACTGAGGGGACAGAAGTGGGAAATTCACAATTGCAAGATGGTGGTCAGAGAAATCATCTTGTCATCCAGGCCAAGTGAACCAAAGCATCTCTTGCTCTTTGGTGGCAACATCACTGAAGGGCAAAAATTACCAAAAATGGAAATGGACAATTGTGTGTGAGTAAAACTGCAATAGAAACAGAAAAGTCAGTTTTTGTTACAGTCGTGACAACAAGTACCCTTTCTCTAACTCCTTCCAGTTAATAAAACACTTCTACGTACAATATCTAATTTGAGCCCAACTATCTTGACAGCATTTATATCTTTATTTACTACATTTTCCAAATGAGGAGGTGACCTTGGGTTTATCTAAGCTTACAGAGCTAGTGGCTGGAATTGCTGGACTCGGCCCTGGGTTTTCTGACTTTAGATAACTTGTTCTTTCCTCTGCACTGTCTCACACTTGCATTCCAAGGTCAGAGTTGCTCCTAAGATCGTTTTGTACCTGATACCGCGCTGATAATGCATTTTTACCCCTCAGTGGGTTTTGCTTATCAGAATTAGAGATATATAGCTCCCCCCCCCAAAAAAAATCTCTATTCACAAACAGATCTTTCTTTCACATAGTGATTATGCTCAACTGTATTTTGCCCCCTACGTTACATTTAAGACAGATTTTAAGTTGGAATTTGGTAAACTGAGGAAGGCCGGAAATCTCCGTCTGTGTAATTCTCAACCTTTTTGAGTAGGAAGGCCACTTGCCATCAGAGCTTTTAAAGTACCCCCTCATTATAGTATCTGCTGACTGAGAAAACAAGACATAGACTGGGAATCCCTTGCAATAACTCTAGGTTGGGACCCACCAGTCTGTTGGTGGTAAATGAGTGTCTGGAGGGAATTTGCTGCAGAAGTTTGTAGAGTATTTGCCAATACCATCAGGTAATGTGTTTGCTCATTCTACCTCTTTGTAAAGAACCTAAAAGGTAAGTTAGGTTCTCATTCTGCAGCTCATGGCTACCCTTCCTCCCCGCTTCCCCCACCGTAATATAATGAAGCAACAACTTTATTTTCCAAACCTTTATTAATCAACCCCTGATTGATAGTGTCGGCCCATTTAATTTACTTAAACTGGAGGAAGAATTGCGTGGAGATAATGAATCAGATCCAATGGCAAGGGAAAGCCTCGGGTCGCAGACTTGGTTCGCCCCTCATCCAGGAGGCCAGATCTCCTTTCCACTCCATATTTGGTTTCACTTCTTCACCCCGGAATTTTCATGCATGACTCCGTATTGAGGCCCCATGTTGCCAATTCTTCTTCCAAGCACAGAAGCCTCCTCAGAGGGGGAAAAGGCCAGCATGGAAGAGATAATTAATTCTACAAAATAATCTGAGCGGCACGTTGCGCTGGCTGAAGGGCATGGTCGTTACCCAGGAGGCATTACTAAGGAGCCATGGCTTAGAATGTAAATCCCAATATAAAATATGGAGATGGTGGCTAGCTCTTTGTACAGAATATGAGAAATACCACTCTCGTTTTGCAAATGGAGCTATGGATGATGTGAATAGAGGGGAAGGCATTGAGCCGAGGTTTGGGGACAATCATTTCATAGGCCCGGTCCTCATCTGTAAAATGAGAGGCACAGGTTAGGTCGCCCACAGCCTGATGCTCCAACTCTAAAATTCCACGACTAAGAAGATCTACTGAGAATATCTATGTGAATCATCACCCAAAAGTGAAATGAATGATTTGGGGTGTGTTCAGATGACGCTAATGTAAGATTTTGACATTGCTGTACATAAAGGACAATGAATGTATCACAGGGATAGAGTACTCTGGAGCCTGTAAATGCTCTCTTTATCTGTTTTGCATAGTGAGCTTTATGTCTGAGACTTAAACTTTGACTGTGAAAACTTGTAAAGGGGCGCCTGGGTGGCTCAGTCGTTAAGCGTCTGCCTTCGGCTCAGGTCATGATCCCAGGGTCCTGAGATTGAGTCCCACATCGGGCTCCCTGCTCAGCAGGAAGCCTGTTCTCTCTCTCCCTCTGCCTGCCACTCCCCCTGTTTGTGCTCTCTCTCTCTCTTTCTCTCTGTGTCAAATGAATATATAAAAATCTTTAAAAAAGAAAGAAAGAAAAGAAAACTTGCAAAATGGGCAAATGAAACTAGAGGTCCTGTCAGAATTGCAAAACTGGATCATATGCAGTTTCCTTCTGAAAAAGTTTAAAGAATGGGAAACTGTCATTTAAAAATTGTATAAAACAAGAACTCTCTTTTTTCCCCACTTTGCTAGGTGGGGGTGGAGATGTTTAGCGGGTTTACATGGAGGAACCATGACTGGCTGTTTAAAATAGCAACGAAGGCAGACGATATCACTGTTGTTTCGATTTTGATTGGAAGACTTTCTAGCAGCAGTGAGAAGTGTTAAGCTAATGTAAAGGGGAGGACGTGGTACTTCTGGTCTGCATTCCAGATCTTCCTCTGGAATAGCTCAATATTATTTTGTCCAAGGGTGGCAATTTCTGGTCAGTGCTACTGTAAGTCACAAAATAATTTCCTCTTTAGGGACTCATCGCAGAAGCCCGCAAGGCCAGAATTAAATTGAAGTAGTTTAGGAGTGGAGAGAGTTGATTATCAGATGCTCACAATTTAAAAATGGAGACAGGAGCACTTTGAAAGGAGCAGCAGAGTGTGAATTCCCATTGATCTTTGTCTGAAGCCCTTGGCTTGCTTTCCCCACGTTCCCCTCACCCTCTTGGGACACCCCCCCTCTTTCACCCATGAGCATGTAGAGAGAGCAGCCTGGCAGATCAGTAACAGCAGTGGATGGTGCATAAGGAATGAGGCAGGGCCTTTTTGGGATGGGCGCTGCAGGCTGCTTTCAGAGCACGTGCAGTTGGATGGACCCCGGGGGCGGGGTCGCAGGAGGAGGTAGGCTTCCTGGAGGAGGTGACCCTCAGAGCAAGGGTTGGCCCTGCTAGCCTGGGAGGGGCTGGATGTAAGGAGGAGTCTTTGAGGGAACTTGGTGCATAAGGACACAGAAAAGGGGCACAGGGGGTGCAAACAGGGCGTGTGGAAAGAATGGGGTGGGGACAGAGCCAGGAGAGACTGGAAGTATTGTCCTCTCTTGACTTACATAGGAGGCACAGTTAACTGTTTTCTAGATGACTCTAAGAAGATGTATTTGTGCCTCCACCCCCACCCCTCACATGCCCTCAAGGTGCTTGCTGTAGACAGGAGCTGGAGGACGGACAGGAAGCCTGGCCCTTTGGACCGTCTTTTTAATGGGGATCTCGTGACTTCCCAGGGAGAATGGGTGAAGGGAGCAGAACCCCAGGGAGAGGACAGAGGCCAGCCTGGGGACAGCAGGAGCATCGTCCTGGGAGACAGCCCTGTAAGGAGAAGGTGGGAACTTCCCGTTGGGTTTTTGCAATGAGGAAGGCCTTGGAGAACTTGGAACTTGGCTACCCCTGTGAGTGTAGCAGTTTAGGTGGAAGCCCCACCCCTGGCCTCATTGCCCTTCTCTGTTCCTAGCTCTCCTCCCTTGCTCCCAGTTCTTGGAATCCTTTCCTTGGTCTGTAGGGCTTCCTCTCTAAACCTGGTTGGCCCCTCCTCACCCTCCCGCCCTTCCCTCTCGGTCCTCCCCCACCATTCCCCAGCCACACTCTCGGAACAACTGATTTCTGTCATTACTTCAATGCAGTTGGATACTCCTTCTTTTCAAAAGCAAGTTCATACTGATTGTTTTCTATGAAGGAAAAAAAAAATGAAGTAAAATTCCTTAAAGAGAGATTTTTAAATGATGGATCTTTAAAAAATGTTTTTGTAGTGTGCTGTAGGAAAAAAAAAAATCTTTCTTCTCCTGTCCTTGGAATGTGGGCCTTAACACTGTTACATTGCTTGTGGGGTTTTGTAAAATATAAACATTTTTTTTAATTGAGTCACCAAAAGTCGCCCCCCCTCTCCCCAATTTAAGAACGGTTTGTTGTCTTCAGAGTTTATTGTGAGGTCAGTTTGGCGCCTGGAATGCATCTCCCTGGTGGCTTCACAGCCTCTGGCCAGCAGAGCAGAAGGCTCATTCGCTGTCCCCCACTGGGGAAATTGTTTCTGATCTCCCTGGTGCAGCTCAGCAGCCAGACTGAGGCCCTGCCCCAGGAACCGAGGGGCCAGGGATGCCACAGCAAGCGAGGGGCCGCCAGAGGGCAGCTGAGCCACAGGTGCCACCACGTGGCCTCCCTCCCTCCTCACAAGGACACCCCTTTCTAGGAAACCCCTTGCTGGCCCCCTCCTGCAGCCCCCAGAGCTCCTGCCCTTGGCAGCAGCCAGAGCCAGGGAGGTTGCAGTCCCCAGGAAGTGGGCCTGCAGGGGCCTCCCAGCCTGGCTTCCTCCCACCAACACCCCCCACCCCACTCCAGGGGCAGCTCCTGGAGCCTCTCTTCTTTCCACCCCCTGCCCTGATAGACAGCTGGTAAACAAACCCTCTCGTTCCTTCTGAAATATATCTCCCTCCCCCCACTATCAAGTCTCATCTGAACGATGGTGGTTGCCTATTAACTGTGTTGCTAGACTGAGCGAGTAGAAATTCAAGGCCTCCCAGTGACATGTGACTTTCGGGTAAACAAGGAACAATGTTTGAGTCGCAGTGTTCTCTTTGTATTTTACCTGGCAACCTCTTAAGGTCTCTTTGGCTTCCTCCTCCCAAGCCGCCCGGACTAGGCAGGGCCAATTAGATAAATGTATATGTGCATTTTGTAGTGCGGTCAAATATACATAACAAAATTTTAGCATTTTAACCATTTTTAAGTGTACCGTTCAGTGGCATGAAGTGCATCCACACTGTTATGCAACTGTTCCCAGTATCCATCCCCAGAACTTTTTCATCTTCCCAAACTGGAAGTCCCCACCCGTTGAACACTGACTCCCCATTGCCTTCTCTCCCCGGCCCCTGGCAACCACTCCTTTTGTCTCTGTCCCTATGAAGTCCACTGCTTGAGGTGTCTCACCAATAGGGTGCTTTTGCATCCCTGCCTAGCACCTTCAATGGATTCCCATCACATTTGTAAAATGTCCTGATGGCCTATGAGCTCGACTCCCCAGCATCCTGCCTTATTCCCATCGGGAGCCCACCAGGCTCTGTCCTATCTTTGCGCCTCTCCCAAGCCCCCTCCCGGAAGCCACCCCTTCTGCTCCACCTCCTGTTCAAGGACACCTTCCCCAACCATCCCTCCTAAAATAATTGCATCCCAAGCCCCCGCTCAGCCCATTCTTCTCTATCTTGGCCTCCTGTTCGTTTCTTTCAGAAAGCTTACGGCAATTTGAATGTTTTGATAAGTTCTTGTTTACCGTTGCCCCAGCACTTAGTGCCATGTAAATAGTAGTTGCTCAATAGTATTTGTTGAATGACTCTGTTGACCAAAGTGGGGACCGCCTATATTCAATTTAAGACAATAAATTCTTTATTCTCTGCTTCATAAGCTCTGGGTCACTATTCAGGTGTGTTTAACTGTAAAATATTTTCCTGATACATTCATTCTTCCTCTTCCTCCAAGTGTGTTTACTTTCCTGCACAAAACTTACCTTGTTGGTCTAAACAGAAGTGAGAAAAGAAGAAGGAAGTAGAATACAAGTATCTGGGCCTTGATGCGAAGACAAAGAGCTGCTTTGTTTCTCCTTGTCGGTGGAATAGAGAATGCTGGGAGGAATGAAATATTATAATCGAAACTTTTTTTTTTTTAAAGATTTTATTTATTTATTTGAGAGACAGAGAATGAGAGACAGAGAGCATGAGAGGGAGGAAGGTCAGAGGGAGAAGCAG